GCTAAACAATACAATATGTTGGAGTTCACCTTCCTCAACATGTTTTTTTCCCATGGTCAATTATATGCCGCATTATCACGGGGGTGCTTCGATGTCAACAACAAAGATTTTGGTCAAACCAGATAATAAGAGAAGAAAAAAAGGAACATATACAAAAAATATTGTGTACAAGGAGATTTTATCCCCCCCATAGGTAATGATACCCATGAATTCTTGTTCTTATGTGATTATACAACTTCTTTATACTATTAATAAAAATAGTGTAGTATTTCAATTATGAAGTATTTCACGTTCATGATTAATGCTTTCATTCTTCAAACATTAAAATTGTACTTCTCATTTTTACAATTGATGATGAAACAACAAGGCTCTAGTACACTCTTCATATTCACTGGATTAATGTTCGAAACTATAATTTCAATTTAAAGCAACTTAGCCTTTACATATTCTACCTACCTTCAAAAATAGGTGATAATCAAAGCAATAATATAGTTTTATTTATTTTTCTATTTTATAATTCAATTTCACATTGAATCAAAAATTAGTATCTGCAAAGTTTTAGCTTTTATATTGCATTCTTTATGTGTGTCTATATGTTTTTTTTTTGTTTTTTAATTCTATGAAGGTAACAAGCATGAATAATAGTATATTGTTTTTTCCCTAAACTATATATGCAATAAAATTATCTTGTAGGCAATAAATTCCAAGCAATGATGTCAACTGACGAAGTCCTAACAACTACACTTTTAACAATCAACCAACTAACAAAATATGAAAACTATTGGAATCTAAAAGTGAAGGTTCTTCGAAGAAGATCAATTACCACATATAGCAATAACAAAGGCATTGGAGAAATTTGGAAAGTCATTTTAGTTGATGATGACGTTAGTTAAATTGTCAATATTATCTTAGTACTTTTGAGATACACATTGTTAATTTTTTATGTTTTCAATACAAAAATTTTACAAGGTACAAGAATACAAGTGTCGATGTTTAGCAATGTAGTCACCAAATTCAGAAACCTTTTTATCAAAGATAAGAAATACTTTGTTTCCAACGGTATAGTAAAGCCTGTAAACCCAAAATACACAAGTGCTCACAAGAACATCGAATTGACACTAATCTTAACTGAAGTCATGGAAGCAGAAAGCGAAATAACATCTCAAGAACAATTATATAACTTCATCTTTTTCATAGATGCAGTAACACAACTAGACGAGAATATGACATATGGTATGTATCCTTAAACTATATTTCACACACCATGCATAATCAATTCTTTTAATAATAGTAATTTTGTAATTGTACATCAAAATTTGTGATGTAGATATAATTGGTTTTGTTATTGAAGTCAAGTCTATAATCAATATAAACAAAGATGGAAAAGGTCCCCTATCTAATTTGAGAGAAGTGGTACTCAAAAATAACGAGTAAGAATCGACCATACCACCTTTTTCTTATGTTATAGCTTATAGAATTTACTTAATACTTTCTAATGATTATAGATTGTATTCGCTACGGTTGACCCTAAGGGGGGATCTAGCAGAAAATGAAGGCCAAATTCTTGAAAAATTACTTCCACAAAAACTAATCATTGCAATATCTTAAGCAAAGGGCTCAATATACGAAGGTGAGTATTGAATTATTTTTGTGAATTAAACAATTAATTTACAGTACTAAGACAGTTGTTGTCATATTTCAAGTGAATTTCGGCTTACTACACCATCTATTATGACAATTGAAATAAATCCAGAGCTGTAAAAAGCAAAGCAAATGCGAGAATGGTTTGCAATTAATATATAGATGTTCCTTAAATTTATTTTAAAAAAAAACATCTTGTGATAATAAATCCAATATGCAGGTTAACTACTTTTCTAGATTATGCAGTTATGCAATAATCTGGTTTGAAACTCTTGAATCAAAAGAACAGTTATGCAATAACAAACTCACTCAATTCAAAAATTATTAAAACAAACACTAACTCCAGTTGTATGATATGACAGAACAAAATATGTATTACCAAAATCTACTATTATGCAGTGGGTAATACTTCAACTTTTTGATAAAAGTGAACAAATTAAATGATAGCGACCAATCAACAGGAAGATTTGTTGTCCAAGAAGTTGAAGAAATTGAAGATTCAAAAACAAACATACAACCGACAAAAAAAGGACAGAAAACAAAGAAGAACTTGTTTCCTTGAACATACAGAATTGCCAAGAAAAACAACCACTAAATAATGTTTTTATGCATTATTATCCTCCTTTTTAGTTATTGTTGAACATACATGACTTTTGGCATTTTTCATATTCAAATAAGGACTTTTCATATTATATTTTAATTCTAATGTTTGATGGGACTCACAATCAATTTAACAATTACACTGAATTAAATCAATAAATTAGTTCCAAAATAGTATTGCTCATTTTCAAACACCCTATACTGTAAAAACATTTGAAAAAAATTAAAAGATTAAGTGTCTTTTTTCTTGGGATTTTAATTATTCACTTACATTTACAAAAAATAATTCAATTTTATTACTCATCAACTTTGTATTTCAAATAAATTTAATAACTAATTAATGAACTAATTTTTTTTCACGTGCAATGCAATTGTGCATTACTAGTATCCTAAATGACTAAACAGTGTATAAATCATGGGTAAATTATGTTTACACTCCCTAAACTATCACATTTTTTTATTTTGCCCCCTCAATTATCAGATTTTTCACATTGCACTTTCAAGTTTGTTTCACATTGCTCCAATCACAAACATTTGTTATTTTTTTAGATAAAACAGGTTGACATGTCGGGGTAAAGTGAACAAAATTAAATAGTTTGGGAGCAAAATAAAATAACTTTCTGCTAAATATGTAACATACGTTAATAAGTGAATTACATAGTTTGAGGGGCAAAATAAAATAACTTTCCTTTAAATATGTAAAGGACGTTAATAAGTGGGGCAATGTTAAACTAATGACATAGTTTAGAGTGTAACATAAGGAATCTGGTAATTGAGGGGGCAAAGTAAAAAAAGGGGTGATAGTTCAAGGGGTATAAGTGTAATTTACCCATAAATCATTTTATTTTAATTTTTTCATTTTCATTGAAAAAGTTTGAAGACAATTATAGTGTGTTGGGTATAGTGGAAAAATGGGTTGAAGGAAAGTGAGGGAGGGAAAATGGAAGGGAAGGAAAATATTTTTATTGTTTGATACCAAAGGAAAGTATAAGGGAGTAGAAAGTGGGAGGGGATCTCTATTCTTCCAGCCCACCAAACATTTTCAGCCCAAATTTGGGCGGAAAGTGGAAGGAAAAAGTGAAGGCAAGACAATAATTTTTAAGTTGATCTTTTTACCCTTTACTTATTGGATATATTTTATTCCCAGTTTACACATCTTTTATCGATTACCAAGAGATAAATTCACTGTTGTATTTCCTCCAAAATTAATTCGTAACAAAAATAAGGGGATTAAAAGATTTTTCAAATTAATTGGATTGATTTGTAATAAAAAAGTTCACTTAATATATTTAAGGGTAGAATTGTAAATTGGGTATATATGTTTTTCTTTTTCTTTCAATTTTCATCAAATACCAAACAATGGAAAATATATCCCTTATATTTTTCATCCCTCTTACCAAACAAAAGGGAGGAAAAATAAATTGCTTTCCTTCGTGGATGGAAATCTTATTTATTTAACTTTTTCTTCCTTCCTTCTTTCCATCCAAACGGATCATTAGACTTGCAACTCATTTATCTTTTGGATATCTCTTGGTCAGTATAACTTTCATCAATTTAATTGGGGCAAATGACACTTTATACTCAAAACATTTTCACATTAACAATTTATACTTATAAAAAATTAAAATTCTCATATTACACTCTCAATTAAATAAAAAAAATAACGATGTGCTCAATTTTTTAAAATTAAGTATAAAATTTTCATGTAAAATACTTAAAATTGAGTAGGATGTAAACAATGGTATACAAAATCTATTTAATAAAGCACAATAAAAAATAACTTTTGTTTTGCGGTTGAGATCGTTTTAAATTTTATTTTAAAGTTAATCGGAAGGATAATATTAATTATCCAAATTTAATAAGAAAAATGGTCCCATAAGGGTGAATTTTAGTTGACTTTTCAAAAGTGCTTCTAGAACTTGTAAAAAATAATAATAATANCCACTTGAATCGGCGAACAACCGAACCCTTGGGACCTTCTTCAACCCCAGGATGTGATGAGTCGACATCGAGGTGCCAAACGACTCCGTCGATAAGAGCTCTTGGGAGTCATCAGCCTGTTATCCCCGGCGTACCTTTGATCCGTTGAGCGAGAGCCCTTCCACACGGGACTCCCGGATCACTATGGCCGACTTTCGTCTCTGTTCGACCAGTCGGTCTCACAGTCAGGCAGGCTTATACCATTACGCTCACGAGCAGAATCTTAGCTTGAGCCTACCAACACCACCATAGTCCATAAGCACCCGTCATCATCCACCACGACTCACACCCACCATCACTATCGTCATCGCCCCATCACCACCATCGTCGTCACCCCCACCACCACGACCACTGCCACCAATCATTACCATTGCCCACACCCACCATCACCACCACCACGGTTGTTGCCGTCCGCTACAATCATCACCGTCTCCCGCCACCACCATTGTCATCTACCATCATTACCACTACTCGCTCTTATTACAATCGGTGCTTAAATTCTTTTTTTTTTTTATATATTTGTGATTTAATTTTAAGTGTCAATACAAATATATTTATGATTGACAAATTTTTTTTATTACTAGTATTATCAAAAAAGGCTATGAACATTTAGTCTTGAATTATATGTGAAAATTTTAATTTTTCAGGATATAATTATATAAATTAAAATTTTGGGTATCTTTAAACTTTAAAGTGATAAAAAGTGCCATTCACCCATTTAACTCTGCAAATTTGCTGAAGACTCTAGTAGCCGTTGGCAGTATCACCTCTGTAATTTCACAGACAGACAAAACCATATCATAAAAGACCGCTTCAAGCCAATACTACCCCCACCACGTTGCTCTCTCTCTCTCTCTCTCTCACACACTCCGTGTGGTGTTGTTGCAATCCCGCTCACAGAATCTCAAGATACTTGTGAATTGTGATCACCGCCCAGCCCTAAATTACCAGAAATCAGTGAGAAAATTCATTGGACGAACACAAAAAAAGAAGAAGAGAAATTGGACAACGGGCTCTGAATTTTAAAGGTTTGCTTACCAAGATTTGTTTAGCTTCACAGACATATCCAAATATTTTCCATATTGAATTAATCCACGCAATTCCAAGTCTGTTGCTTTATGTGAATTCAGTTTCTGAGTAATTTGTAGTTTCCATTTTAAATTTTAGGTATTTTCTGACTTCTGAATTCATATTAGGCCAATTTTTTTTTAATTTCTATTACATAGTAGTTGCTGGTGGGAAATATCTTCCTGAGTAGTTGTTGTACTGGAATCTATTTATGACAACTGGTTTCTAGTTGATTTCTGAATTTTTTCCTGCACTTCATTTTGTTGTATTGTTTAATCTATACGCTGATTGGTCAGTGGTACTTGGTACAGTCCCTGTGCTGTGGCTGAAGTTTTGGTTATTTTTGACTTTTGCCTTTCCTTCCCCGTTTTGTTGTCTCATTTTTTTCGATTTTATTTACAGTCTTTGTTTTTTAGAGTTCGCTTTCAAATATTATGTTTTGTTTTTATGTTATTGTAGCACTTGTCTTTTGTTATTATGAATATTTCTCCCCACCGCTTCCCAAAAGTGAGGTAACAATTGTCTTTGAGGGGGTTAATTGCTTTTATGTTGCTTATGGGTACTCCATACAGTTGATTACTTGATTATGGCGTTCAAACTGATGTGTTTCCGGGGAAATTTGATAATTATAGCAGAAGGAAGACTACTGTTTCATTGATTATTATTGTTGTTTTGAGAAGTATTGGGGTGTAAAGTTAATTTTTATTTTCTTGTACTAAGCTAGTTTGTTTTCCTAAAACCTGTTAGGGAGAGAGAAGAAGCATGTACATTGATTGTGGTCTTCTATGATGTTTCAGTTTCAAAAACTTGAAAAACTCACTTCACCAAATTCAAATAGGGTGGTGTTCTCTGTACCCAACATATTCTGTATTTCTCGCTCTTTGTCTTTCTGTGATATGTGGTTTTAGTCCACTTGTGTGTTGTGGGGTTTGATGAGTTTGATGTTGGCTACTTTTTGATGTTGATGAATTTTGTTTCACTTTGGTTCACATTCTCTTTGGAACTTGTATTTTCAGCTTTTAAATGGCTCCAGATACTTCTCCCAATGCCGAATCCCCAAGGCGACGGATGGGCTTACTAAGGGATCAAGTCCAATTGGTTAAAAGAAAGGACTCCGATCGTTATGAGATTGTCCCAATCCAAGATCCACTGTCATTTGAGAAGGGTTTCTTTATTGTTATCCGTGCATGCCAGTTGTTGGCCCAAAAAAATGATGGGATAATCTTAGTAGGAGTAGCAGGTCCTTCTGGGGCTGGAAAAACTGTGTTTACGGAGAAGATTAGTAACTTTATTCCCAGTATTGCTGTGATAACCATGGACAACTATAATGATGCTAGCCGCATTATTGACGGAAACTTTGATGGTAAAGCCTGTATTCGTAATTTCTGCTTTTGGCTATGTGCTAGAAAAAAAGTGCTTATATTACAAGATGCTATGGCTGATTACTGGGATTGCTAGCATGATATCCTGATGTCATATTTTCAAAACTTGTCTGCATTCAGGGATTCATCTCTTTTTGTTAGTCTAATCTTTTATAGAAACATAGCGTGGTAGCATCCACGGACTTTTTAGGTATTATCATTCCAAAAGTCACTTTCATCTTAAAGAAAAATCCGCAAATGCATCTTCTAACAATTCTTACCTGTAGCATCGAAAGGAATCTACTTAATTCAACCCATTTACTATGAGATGACGTTAAGTATAAATATTTAAATACACAGTGAAATATTGCATTTTGATTTGAACATATTGGGTAGGTTTAGGCAACTCACCTATGCTTTGTTCCAATCATATGGAGTCAGCCACATGAATATTCGTCTACCAGTTGTGGTCTTCTTTGGACATGTCTAGACCATCTTAATTGGCTCTCTTGATTATCTTCTATGGGTGTTACTCAATTATTTCACAGATAAAGTCATTTCCAATTTAAGATGTTGCGATTGCAGGAAAAACTCAACCGCATTACCTGCTATAAAGTAGCCAGGAAACCTTATCTTGAACGAGATAGAAGTCCTTCGGGTTCATTTAGAACTAAGCACGTTTTGATAGTTTAGTAAGAAATTAAATAATCCATAGTTTTATTTGCTACTTATTCAAGTGAAGGTGCTTAAATTCATTCAGTGCATAATGAGTGGTAATATTTGAGTTACCTTTTAAATATAAGCTAAATAAGTCGATTGTTCTTGAATCAATGGAATTAAACTTACCTCCACCTTCTTCGAGAGAATGACCCCTCATGGCCTGTGAACATTTTTAAATGTCTCCTTCGGTCTTTCTTTGCAAATATCATGTATATGAACAAATCCTAGTCTCCTAGACTTTACAGATAAGTCTAGTCTATTCAAGTTCAAGCCTGGCCTTTAATGTTTTTGGGTTACTTTCGTGTAACTTTAACTTGTGGGCATCTTCTGTCTCCACTTGCGCTAATTTTATGAATTTTGAACAACATTGTTGCTTTCCATGGTTCAAGGTCGCGATATCAGATCGATTTGGAGAGATTTGACACTTCGGTCGCGGCGTTGAGGTATCGGGTGATACTACGACCTAAAAGAAAACGTTGAACATGAAGAGTAATTTAGGTCATATTGAGGCATCATGGAACTGTATCGGCCGATTCGGTGATGAAAACTTGCCGACTTGTATACAACTTGGACGACTCAATAGAGTTGTGCGAGTCTCAGACAGTATCGTCTCGGAAGGTGCCGGTAGCCGAGTCGGACATGGCTCGGTGGACTCATATCAATATCGCCGATACTTACGCCATAGTTATTTTTGCATAGCATCGAAAATTCAGTTGACTTCAATACTCTAGGGGTGTATTTGAGTAATAAAATGTTGATTGCCATGGAAATTAATTGGCCTTGTCACTTGCCTGCCAACTGTTGCAGATAATATTGAGTTCCCTTCTTGTAGTGTTTTTTTGAAATCTTACTGTGGTGGGTTTCTTTATTTTGTTGTTCTTCCAAGATAATATGAAATCTGTCATTCCAGAGACTTGATTAATTGATGAAGGATTCCTGCCAGAACTCTAAGGGCTCTATGTTATGAAACAGATCCACGCTTGACTGATTATGACACACTGCTCGAGAATATTTGTGGTTTAAAAGAAGGACGGTCTGTTCAAGTTCCCATATATGATTTTAAATCTAGCTCTCGCAAAGGCTACAGGTAAGGGAACAAGAGAAAGAAAAACCCAAGATGGTCTTTCTGATACATAACCATGCAGGATTGAGCTTATGGCTCTATTTTTAAGCAAACCTTTTCTATTATATGAGGTTTCTTTCTTCTTGATAACTGTTTGTGTGATACTGTTGTCAAATTAGCTTTTATCTTGCATGGTTATTTTCTTATTTTTCCTATGCATTATTGTCACAAGATATCCTGTACCTGTGCACATAATATGCTTATTTATTTATTTCGTGTATTTACGTTGGAGGAAGTTTCTGTGCTTGTTAGGTACGTGGTTTTCTCACTCGTGATGGGAGCTTAGATAATGTTAGTTGTCATGTGTGAATCAGCCAATTGGTTTCCTTATTTTCTCATCTTTACACAATTACACTCCCTGACTTGATATTGTTTTCATTGGATAAAATTTATGACTTCCATTTCTTTCCCAGATTAAACGATCTGTTTAAAAAGTATATGTCTTATACTATCCATGTGCAATTCTCATGTCTTGCTGCTTCACTCATGGGCTAATTGTTTTGCTTTGTAAAGAGAGTTTGTATCGTCCATTGAATGATTACGATACCCAAGGTTAGTTTGTATGCTTGAAGGGCATCTCCATTCATTGCCAATTGGTTTTGAGTGGATGCTCTCAAATGTTATCTGAGATAGGCCNGCATCATGGAACTGTATCGGCCGATTCGGTGATGAAAACTTGCCGACTTGTATACAACTTGGACGACTCAATAGAGTTGTGCGAGTCTCAGACAGTATCGTCTCGGAAGGTGCCGGTAGCCGAGTCGGACATGGCTCGGTGGACTCATATCAATATCGCCGATACTTACGCCATAGTTATTTTTGCATAGCATCGAAAATTCAGTTGACTTCAATACTCTAGGGGTGTATTTGAGTAATAAAATGTTGATTGCCATGGAAATTAATTGGCCTTGTCACTTGCCTGCCAACTGTTGCAGATAATATTGAGTTCCCTTCTTGTAGTGTTTTTTTGAAATCTTACTGTGGTGGGTTTCTTTATTTTGTTGTTCTTCCAAGATAATATGAAATCTGTCATTCCAGAGACTTGATTAATTGATGAAGGATTCCTGCCAGAACTCTAAGGGCTCTATGTTATGAAACAGATCCACGCTTGACTGATTATGACACACTGCTCGAGAATATTTGTGGTTTAAAAGAAGGACGGTCTGTTCAAGTTCCCATATATGATTTTAAATCTAGCTCTCGCAAAGGCTACAGGTAAGGGAACAAGAGAAAGAAAAACCCAAGATGGTCTTTCTGATACATAACCATGCAGGATTGAGCTTATGGCTCTATTTTTAAGCAAACCTTTTCTATTATATGAGGTTTCTTTCTTCTTGATAACTGTTTGTGTGATACTGTTGTCAAATTAGCTTTTATCTTGCATGGTTATTTTCTTATTTTTCCTATGCATTATTGTCACAAGATATCCTGTACCTGTGCACATAATATGCTTATTTATTTATTTCGTGTATTTACGTTGGAGGAAGTTTCTGTGCTTGTTAGGTACGTGGTTTTCTCACTCGTGATGGGAGCTTAGATAATGTTAGTTGTCATGTGTGAATCAGCCAATTGGTTTCCTTATTTTCTCATCTTTACACAATTACACTCCCTGACTTGATATTGTTTTCATTGGATAAAATTTATGACTTCCATTTCTTTCCCAGATTAAACGATCTGTTTAAAAAGTATATGTCTTATACTATCCATGTGCAATTCTCATGTCTTGCTGCTTCACTCATGGGCTAATTGTTTTGCTTTGTAAAGAGAGTTTGTATCGTCCATTGAATGATTACGATACCCAAGGTTAGTTTGTATGCTTGAAGGGCATCTCCATTCATTGCCAATTGGTTTTGAGTGGATGCTCTCAAATGTTATCTGAGATAGGCCATGGCAGGTCAGGACCAAGTCTCTTACCCATTTCCCAGTATTCTTTTTTTTTTTTTCTAGTTTGCTTGTTAGCCCCACGTGCGAGCCAGGAAGGTTGTAAAGTTTGTATTCAACATCAAACGATTACGATCACCCAAGGTTGGTTTATATGCTTGAAGGGCCTCTCCACTCATTGCCAATTGGGTTTGAGTTGGATGCTTCAACGTGCTTGATGTGCAAATTTTTAATTCTTGACCACTACTCATGAAAATTATTGTTACATGAAACATTTTACAGGACACTTGAAGTACCTAGCTCTCGCATTGTGATAATTGAAGGTATATATGCCCTGAGTGAAAAATTACGGCCTTTGCTAGATCTGCGTGTCTCTGTTACGGGCGGAGTGCATTTTGATCTTGTCAAACGGGTTTTGAGGGACATTCAACGTGCTAGACAAGAGCCCGAAGAGATTATCCAACAAATCTCTGAAACGGTTCTCCCACTCCTGCCATTTTAGATATTTTTTCACAATTTGTTTCAGATTTGACACTAGAATCTTGTTTGGATATTTAGAACTTTACAATAGTTCTCATAGCATATCTGTGTGCAGGTATATCCTATGTACAAAGCTTTTATTGAGCCAGATCTACAAACGGCACATATAAAAATTATGAACAAGTTTAACCCATTCTCCGGATTTCAGAATCCCACTTATATTTTAAAGGTTAACCTTCAATGTCTGTCAAATTTTAAAAATATACAGGGGTTGTAACACAGGTGCCTGGTCTGACTTTGTTGCCTTCTTCCTCTACCATTGAATGAATGCTTTATGTTTCTGTAGTCAACAAGGGCTGTGTCTAGGGATCAAATAAAGGCTGTTCTTTCTGAAGAACACAGAGAATCCACGGAGGAAACTTATGATATTTATCTTCTGCCGCCCGGTGAAGATCCGGAAGCATGCCAATCATATCTGAGGATGAGGAACAGGGATGGAAAGTACAATCTCATGTTTGAGGTTTGGCCATTGGGGAACTTGATGTTTTTAATTGGAATAGTGATTTCATTTGTACATATGGCTAACTGACCTTACTGAATATAATTAGTAGCATTTGGTTTGTAGTTTAGTTTTATATGCTGTCTCACTGATTTACTAGATGGTAAGACATCAGTACATTATGATGTCTTACTGTCCTGTATCAGGGTCAAGTTCCTCCATCTGCTGCGGATAATGCTACTTTCTGCTGCTCGTAATCAATTTGATTTCCCACTTTTTTTTTTGTCTTTGTTTTTCTTCTCTCTTACAATTTCTTCTACATTTTCAATTGCTCAATACTACAGAATTGCGAAGCACCCTATACTCCCATTTGATAAAAACGAAAGCGATTTTAGCAAATTACAGGCATTGCTTTGCACCAGAATCCTTCATAAAAGAAAGTACATCCAACCATTGGCTGTGGAAGAGCTGGCCATTGAAGCATCTCTTTTCCTCGGCATTGATTTCCTCACATGTTTATAGGACAAACAATTGTTTTGCCTCACTCATTTTTTCCCTTCTAAGTGGACACCATCTATGTGTTGCTTGAGGAAGTGGACTTCAAATTCTTTAGCCAGATAATGGTAGATGTTCTTATTATGACTTAGACCAACAAGGTACCTTCCATATTCCTCCTAAGGGAATTAACACCATTGACTTGTTACGATGGTCATCAGTCACCTTCCAGTAGGCAATATTTTGGTCCTATTTTGTGGAATGAACTTTTGCTTCGTATCGAAAAGTACATGTCGTCCGTGTATACGTAAAGGGTTCATCACTGGAGGTGTAAACAAGCTGAAAAGCCAAACATTGAGTGTTAACCTCTGTTTAGCCTAGGTGTTGTGCTTGGGCTCGGCTTTAAGTTTTTCAAGATTTTAATTGACTAAATTTTCTCAAACTCAGCTCAAGTCATTTGTGAGCCCAAGTAAAGCTCTCATTCAAGCGCTATCGAGCAGGAATACCTTGGCTTGTTTTACACCCTATCAATTTAAATTTGCAACCCGCTAGTTAAATCTGTAACATCAAAACTACATGCACACTGATATACATAATAGGAAGTTGAAATATTTGAGCCTTATGGGTAGATAGTGTTTGTTGACATTAAAATTTCGTAGCTTGAGTGGTGCAAAATTAGTTACTAAAACATGATGCCTGTAAGAAAAATATAGAAATGATTGAAGTTCGAAATTGTGTAAAAACTTATATATCTTGACTTCTTGTGCTTGTTGCTTTCAGGAATGGGTTACAGATATTCCATTCATCATTTCACCAAGGATCACATTCGAAGTTAGCGTCCGCCTCCTTGGTGGGCTGATGGCTTTAGGGTACACAATTGCAGCCATCCTGAAAAGAAGCAGTCATGTTTTCTCTGACGACAGGGTTTGCGTCAAAACTGATTGGTTAGAACAACTTAATCGGCAGTATATTCAGGTATCATATCAATGTATCTTATTCAAACTAATTTCTGGTTCAATACGTCAAGATTTATTCTTTATCATTGCAAGGCTAATGGACCTTTTGCCCAGTGACTGATTGATGGTTATGGCACAACTTGTCATTGAATACACGTACATGATTATGGTTGGCAAAGATTAAGTTGTCTCAACTATTGGATACTTATGTACACATTCAAGTCTTACAAAGTGCCACAACTTAAAAATGTTGAAGTGCAATACGGTTAAAAACCCCTCTTTTCTTCTCATTCTATTACATTTTTGGTTCTTGAAACAACTTTTTTGTAGATCACGTCGTGTAGTGTGTTCATTTTTTTCATTTCTTAAACTATAAATTCCAATGCTTGAGAGTTTTAAATGTTGATTATTTCCGTTTGGAATTCAACTCCAATCTGTGTACTAGTATGCTAATCGTATCTGGGGTCATTTATTCTATAAACCAAATATCATTAGGCAATTTTTTGACCCTGCATAACTCACTTTTTCCTGTTGTTTTTTTTCCCTCTTTTTTGCTTCTCAAACAAAGCTTCTCTTGTGAACTGATTTGTTCCACAATGCTGCAATCTATGTTTATATGGCTGGGGCAGTACTGGAAATTTTGCCTTATCAATGTCTGTGATGCTGCAGAGTTCTAGGGCTGGATTTTGTTCGTTAAATTTAAATGTGTTAACATCCTCATCTCTGTAATACTCACCTATATAGGTTTTGTTACAGAAGCATAAATGTGATTTTCGTTACCTTGCTCGTGTAATATTTTTCTTTCCAGTTTGATTTACATACATTGGTCAATGATGCTCCACTGGGTGCCTTTACATCTCTATTACATATTGTGTGGCAACATCATATTAGTTAAACCATGGATGTCATCAACCGTTTCTTTTATGTACACCCAAAATTTCTTGGTTAATAAAGTTGGATTAATCTGTCTTAAAAGGTGTAGACGGCATACGTGTGCCCTGAAAAGGATTACAAAAAGCTATTTGTAGTTTCACAAGTAGGGATTCTTAGTTAAAAATGATGTAGTGTTCTCAAGAGCACAAGCAAAGGTATGGAGCAACAATGTGAGGGATTCAATCTACCACAAGGAAATGGCCCTGACTGAAGCCATGTGAGGAAAAAATAGGAAAGGAAAAATGAGTACAAAAATACGAATACATCATAATTCTTTCCAGGATTTTTTTGTGGAGAGCAGAGAGGGAAAACTGTTCCTGTTTTAGTGTTTAAACAACTATCATATCTCTCTTCAAACTGTCAGTCTTGGATTTTGCCAGAACCAGCAAAACTTTAATTTTGCTAATATGGACATACAGGTGCAAGGAAGAGACCGTCTTTATGTGAAGTATATAGCAGATCAGCTGGGCTTGGGTGGTTCATATGTTCCTCGCACTTATATAGAACAAATTCAGCTGGAAAAGCTTGTAAATGATGTTATGGTACGGGACCTTTGTTTAATTATCCACTTTTCCCATTTTGCTTTGCCCTGATCAAATCAACCCATAGGCATTGCCAGATGATCTGAAGACAAAGCTTAGCATAGATGATGATGTGGCTTCAAGCCCTAAAGAAGCTCTATCCAGGGCCTCTGCAGATAGGAGAACCAAGTTTCTCAATCGGTACTTCTGAGTTCTGATCCTCATCCATTGGTTTTAGATGCAATCTTTTGTTTGAACAAACACTGGATTGAGCTATCAGAAATGAATATCTATTTCATCTAATGCATCAGTTGCTGTATTTAATGAGTTACATTTTATTTTCTTTAGAGATGTTCTTTTTTGAAGTCCTATAACAACTTCAAAATCTTGGAATATTCAGGGTATTTGTTTGTAATGGGTTCACTAATTTGGCGTCTTAGTAAATGCTCGGGTGAGTCAATTTTGTTGTCTGTCAAAAGGAGATTCACTTGGTTGTGTAATTTGTGCAGTAGTATGTCATATTCAACACAGCGTGACAAGAATCTGCCTAATCTGACTAAGCTTGCAGTTAATAATCGGAGATTTGATGGAAGAACCCCAGATTCACCAGCAACACTTGCTAGCCAGGTGAGTTTGTCTGTCTTGACAAATAACAATTCATTACAATGGCCAGCTTTTTTCTCTTGTGCTTCTCAAATAACTGTTTCTTTGCCTCTAGGATAAGGTTGTCTACCCCTGCAATGCTTTTTTTGGATTTTCCTAGTCATATGAACTTTTGTTTTGGCCTTTAGTTGATTATATTGTTGTACTCTTGTGTACTTCACAGGCACTTTTTTGGCTTCCAGTTAGACCATTGTTAATCTTTTCCTCCTCCCCCCTCCTCCCTCAATGAAAAAAAAAATAAAAAGGGAAGAAAAAGAAGAGAAAAAAGCCGCAGCCTTTCCAGCCATAATGTACTCTACTGTTCTGCTGCCAAAATAAATGAAAATAGGAAAAGAAAACATGGAATATTATGTCATCTTTGTGTGGTTTCAAATATATTTAGAGTAGGAAATACAGAAGCCAATGTAAGATTTTGGTTTTGGTAAACTTCCTGTATTCCATTCATGTAAGATGATCCTTTCGTGTTTGACCCTTTTAGTTTTCATGTACTGCAGAATATGAAGGATCACCCACATACTCCACCACCTAAATATTTCAGTGTTTATTGTTATTATAAATTGAATTTGTTTTTTTTCCTCCTTTTTATTTTCTTGTCAACCCAATATACCAATCGTTTTCCCCTTGTCTTTTGATTGTTTCAGGGAGTCATAACTCAACTCTCAGAACAAATTTCCACGCTGAATGAGCGAATGGACGAGTTTACATCTCGTATTGAAGAACTAAATTCAAAATTCTCTATCAAGGAAGTTTCCGCCAGCCATCAAAATTTGGCTTTGCAGGCTGAATCCTGCAATGGCTCCGGACCCACTTCCGTTTTCGTGGCTGGTTTAGGCAATGGTTCAATCACAGGCTCGCTACTACCCAATTCCTCTTCTTCTTCCCAATTATTAAGGGAGTCTCCACTGATGGAAGAGGTAAACCATGAATCTCATGTTCTGCATTACCATTTGAAATAATTGGAGGAAGTTGACAAGTATATGGAATTTCTGATATTATTATTTAACCATCATCTGGATTGGATTAAGTAAATCACAAGTCATTATTCCACAATTTATTGATCAAAGTTCCTTTTATTGTTTTCTGTATTGACATTCTTCAAAAGAGTGAACAATATTGAAACTTAAGTGGTCAGTAGTACGTTAGTCCTGAAATTAAAGACATCTCCATAAGAGAAACTATTCCTTTTATTGTTTTCTGTATTGACATTCTTCAAAAGAGTAAACTATATGGAAACTTAAGTAGTCAGTAGTACGTTAGTCCTGAAATTAAAGTCGCCTCCATAAGAGAAACTATGTTATGGGCTTTGAAGCTTTTCATTTGGTTTCCTGAAGAACCCATAAAGATGGGGTCGGAGGCAGGTAGTTGCCAGCTTGGCTGGGGAAGTCTCTTAATAGTCATGCCGCAATACCTGAATTTAAATATGTCCTCCATTGGGGTATCGATAAGAGTTTATGGGTATGTGCAAGGACATTCTCCTGTTTTTATATTGTTATTGCCTTGGGATATAAAAAGTGGATTGCAGGATTTGACAGGAAAAAAGAAGTCAAAAAGTCATGTACTGAAAATGATAAAAATGCAGGCGAGGGAGGACTTGTTACTGTTAAAGAGGAACCCAAGAAGAGAAGCAACTTTTTCACTTTTTTCCAGAAAAAGAGCTAAAAACCAAATAAGTGGAGCTAATTTCACCTCTTCACATGGAACATAAACCTATGTACTTTGTTTATTATTTTTTTAAAGCAAGCAAAGCATATCCTTTTAAGCTGAAAAGTTCTATGATTCCTGTGTATTAAATGTTTCTTTTTGGTTCATCTTTATGTTATAGGTCCTTTTCTTCGCACAAAAGTAATGAAAATGTTAAAAGACTTGCAGAGTAAGTGTACACCACTAGTGCCTTTTAATCACCTATTTTTTCATGTTTACACGTTTATTCATAAATAAGGAGAATTTCTTCTCTCATCCCAACAGAAGTCAATAGAGAAAAGTATTTTTGTCAGGTATCGTCTTATATGCATGATCCAAGAGTGCCTTCAAACATGAAACATCAATGGCCAAAGTGGTGTGTGCACCTCTTCACGCCAGCCAACTTTGGTGGATAATTTGAGATATTAGATGTCTGAGATTGCATGATTGCTATTATATGTGGGGCAAGTCCCAGATCCAGCTTTCCCACAAAATTCACAGCTGCTCTGGAATGGTTTAATTTCTGACCATTGATAATTGGTTGCTTCCATAAACTTTAGCATTTGCATCGTGTATGAAATCTTTTCCATCTCCTAACCCGTTTATTTCTGGTTTTGCAAACCGTTTTCTTTAAGCAGGTATTACTCATTGCAAGATCACAACGTCAAATTATGCATCAAATAGACAATCTGAGCAATCTCCTGCACGAGTTCTTGGGAGAGAGGTCCCGCCAAGGAAGAACAGATAGGACAGGCACAACAATAGATGTTGAATCCATTGGTGTTCCTCTAGTCCTATCTCTGGCTATTGCTGGTATGGGTATCTTTTTGTTCAGAACTTTCTCATCCCAAAAATGACTCCTGTGCTGAAGAACCTTCTGCAGCATCCTAGAGAGAGAGATATTTTAAGGCTTAGACAAATTGCAGTATCGTAATGTCCTTGTAGAGTTTCAAACGAATTTTAAGGGTCCAAGAGGTATGGAAGTCTGAATGAGGGAAATTTTCAGGCTTGGACAAATTGCAGTAATGTAATGTCCTCTCACAACTGATTGTAAGGGTCCAAGGGGAACTTTTTTACCCACTATCCTTGTGTTGGGAGAAGATGAACTTTTTTTTGCCCCATTCACCACTGCATTTACATGTTATTGAGTTGCTCCGTTGGTGCTCCTACTTTCAATGCTTATGCTTCTCTTTCAGAGGCTCATGCCAGTGGTTTTTTCTTCTCTCCACAAGTTGATGCAACTGGTAGTGGGTGGCAACTTTGCTACTCAATTACTCTGGTAATCCCTCAAAAATGTTAATACACAATGGGATAGGTTGGCTTGTGGCATTGGAAATAATGGTTTTAAACAAAATTATTTGAGCAACTTGATGTTTAAATAAAAGTGGGATTAACACCTCAAAATTGGTGAGATTAAGTTTAAACGTGTTCTCCCTTGCAAAGAGATGGATGTCGTATATTTATTTGTCTAAAATTAATAAATATTAAATGTGAAATTATGTCTTAAAGTGATCTATTTGAAATGATGAAATAAAATTAAGATAGGTGTAGTGCAATAAGACTTGTCTCATATTGGACGAAAATTAACACTTTTGTAAGTTAATATACTCATAGTTGACATTATAGGTTGAATTCCAAGGACTATCACACTTTTGTGAGCAGAGCGAGCGCCTAAATTACCTTGGTTATTACACACGTGCCAACCGCCTCGCCATAATCGTGATTGGGCTTGGGCCAATAAAATATAATTTTTTTAGACAAAATTTATTTAGAGTGGTGCGGATTATGAGTCAAACCAATTGGATACGAACGTGGATCGGAATTAAAATCCCGATCGAAATTTAAATCCAATCAAAAATTTAAATTTCCTATCCGTTACTTTGAATTTGGCGTCCAAAATTTATTTAGAGCAGTACGGATCATGGATCAAACCAATCAGATACGAACGTGGATAGAAATTAAAATACCAACTGAAATTTAAATTCAACCAAAAATTTAAATTTATTATCCATTACTTTGAATTTGGCGCTGAAACCAAGTCTAGTCATTCCAGAGGTGCTTTTTGTCTGTTCATATTAAAGATTGTGTCTCTTCAATCTGAACAGTGACATCTCATACCTCTTTAGGCAATCTGAATAACCACCAAGGGTTTATAAATAGACTGTCCCATTGCCATTTCAATCGATCTCAATTCTGGATCCTAGTTTCATAATTTATTCTCTTTCTTTGCATATTATTGCATTGTTTTTTTGGTTTGGTTCAAGTATGAACACAAGTTGTATTTGCTGGAGTCTTGAAAATTGAAGTGTTGTTTCTTAAAAAATGAAAAATTTATTCTATCTTGGGAGACAGTTGCTCATCAACCTTGAACACCGATAGGGAACAAATATGTCTTAAGGAGATTGTAATTTACAAGACTCAGATTGAATATTTTGATTTTCTTATTTTATTGTTCATACAAATTTGCGTCACTGTGAGTGCACTGATTTTACTTACTTTTTATTTTGATTAAGTTACATATAGCAGTATACAAATATACGTTCAATTCTGTTATTGCATAAAGTAGACTTGATACAGTTTAGTATAATCTAATTATATACCAATTTTTTATAACAGATAGCAGATGTGTGATATTAAACTGCAATGATTACTTCAAAATCATGCTTTTTATTGTTTGCTTTTCCACTACTAGTCATGTTTTTTCCCTTCTCGTTTGGTGTGGTGACGAATAATCTTTAGCCCAAGGCAGAAAATGTTATGTCCAATAATTTTTGGATGTGCCATCAATGTTATCTACTCTTGAGATTCATATTGAACAAGTAATCTCTGTGTCTTGCCAGTTTGTTAAGTAGAGTGTGTTCTCTGCAAAGGAGTATAAAAAAAAAAGGATTTAAGAAAAATAATGGGTGAGTTTTATTTCTTGTGACAAAAAGCTATTGAATTTTATCAATCTTTAGTAGGACAACTAAGCTCTGCTTTTACAACCAGAGCTAGTAGGATGGTACTGGACCAGAGAAAAATGGGTATTCGTTTAAATTTATTCTGTTTGGACCGGGGATAGACCATACGTATTAGATGGTGGACGTATAAAGGGATACTCATATTAAACCGTTATTTTATGTGTGTGTGTGTGTGTGTGTATATATATATATATAGATAAAAAAAAAATTAGTCCCAAATGTAAAACTAATTTGCAGTCTTGTTTGTTTGAATGTTGTCTCGTCGTGTGTATTTTGTTAGTTTTATAATTAATGAAAGTGTTCAGATCTAACATAGTCTATTTAAGTTGTTCAAAAGAGCATATAGGTTTGTGTTTATTGGTAAAATTGAAGTGTTGTACTCCCCTCAAATCCCAGTTGTATGACAATATTGATTGTGTAGACTTATGTTTATTGGTAAAATTGAAGTGCTGCACTCCATTTTGTATATAATCAATTTATGGCTAATTTGTGCCTAATTAATTTGTTTTGGTAAACTTCTATCGAAATGGTGTGAATTGTTGTTGAGTTTTTGGCACGACAAAATCACATTGTACAAGCTTGTCGAACCGCTTATATTAGCGGTTTAAAATTTCACCAATAGTGAATGCTTACTTATTAGTTTGAGAAAATGTGTTTCATCATAGAGTTGGGCCTGATATTTTCTATCAGACCTAACCCTGCGGAAAATTTTGACCATGAAATTGTCTACTCTCTCACATATGAATTAACTGTCTTTGTTTCTTTTAAAATGATATTGCTTAATCAATAATTCCTTACAATAAATAAGTGAATTGATTTTTAAGTGAATTATTAGCATCATAATACATTATGTGAAAGTTTATTTTTACATGTGGTTGATTACTAACATTGATGCAATTGTGACTATTTTTATGTTGGATTATGTTGTAGATAAGGTTTTAATTATATAATTTTAGATTATATTGTTGAGCTTTTAATGATATTATGATATTCTATAATTATGTTAGATTATTTAGAATGTTGAATTTATTTGAAATTTTGGATTATGTTGGCTTTGGGTTGGGCTGAGTCGGTATGGGGGACGGGGTGGGGGTGAAGGCGAGGGACGAGACGGGGGCGAAAATTATAAATTTACTCGTGAATGAGGATGGACATAACAATTATACCCATTTAACGGGGTGGACTGGGGATGAACGAAAATTTTTTAAGCTGGTACGAAAATGGAGACTACACCCCTCGTGTCACACCACATCCCGGTCTCCCACAGATGAGACGCGACTAGCTCTTTGATACACCTGTTTACACACACACACACATATATATAATCTAGATTAATAAAACACTAATTAATCTCACAAGTGCAACAATACCACTCATCACCTTAATCAATAAGCATGATGGTAAATCTGTCTCATAACATGTACCAATTATTTGTTTTCGAGGTTATAGACAGATACAAACTCCCACACCCACATGGCATACATCACAAAAGTATGACTGTTGAGTCTATTTACAAATATATACTATTAAACTGCTATTATAATCTTTCACAAATATAATACATAATCCAAAAATTAGTCATACTGACACTCAACCTGAGTGATATCACACTATCGTTGTACAAGACTCAATCGACTGGACAGTGGACTGGTCTGTATCCTCCTCTACACTACCTGAAAAACTACGCGCTCAGTGAGTATACATGTTGTATATGAAATGGAAACGATAGTAATACACTGAAGTAGGTAAATAATACGTAGATACACGTATCAAACAACAACATCAATCCAATTCCAAAGAATGCACAAGTCACATCACATTCATACTACCCCTCATCGGGTGATCGATCCCACATGGATCCGTGTCTCCCGAACCTCCCGGGAACACCTAGCACATCACTGCACGCCCAGTGACCAGACATCGACGCCCTTGTCTCAAACAGTGCGCCACATTCCACAATACACAATACACAGTACAAAAATATCATCCAATCACATAAGCACATAGCACATAATCTTGGAGAATTGTTATTAAATTCTATCATTTACTATCATAGGATAATAGCATTTCCAAAATATATAAAGGTATACACCCACCTCAAGTGTACAGAGCTACGACGAGTCGCCGGACCTACTAGTGAATTCCTTCGGTGTTTTCGTATCTGTTTCAATACCAATTGTCCCACTTGTTCCACCTAACACATTTACAATTAAAATATCAACATATTTATCACATTGAAAAATTGATCATGCATTAATGCATGCAAGACGATTCAACCCGAAGGGTTCCGGTAATCTCGATTACCGCACCGTTCACTCACATACTGGTACATTAGATGTAGGGATCATATTGTCTCCCCAAAACTTCAAAATCATTCACATTAATCGCAATTATCACAATTAGGATTAAATAGGTCAAACACATTGACCAGGGGTCCATTTTCACACATTTCGATCCCGAATTCTAAAAATCGCACTTCCGACATTTCGCATCGATATTTACATTATCACATCAAGTATTATTTAAAAATGCAGCATGCAAAATTTTAGGTCATTTGGATTAAAACTCACACATGTGATAATAATATTTAGAAATTAGGGTTTTGGCGTTATCGGCACCCATGTCCAACTTTCATCGTACATTTTTATTTAAAACCGCTACACTTAAATTCACGTACACGTTTAATAAATGCAAAACAGTCCCCTAAGTTATGTTAACTCACTTTATTAAACTCAAAAATTTGTCCATGGAATTTAAATTAAAACAGCCCATTATTTGAACACGAATAGCCCACCAAATTAAACTAAAATAGTATATGAAATAAATTAAAATAGCCACTAATTTAAAACATGTTAAAACAGTCCATATATGTACAACATCTATATACTAAAATTAATCACAACCCATGTATAAATTAAGTATCACATACATTCCTTACTCACGGTTCAAATAAACTCACGTGCGTACATTATTTTATTTTTTTTTATTTTTTTTCCTTCTTTTTCTCTTGCTCTCCTGCCCACCCTCACTCTCACTCACGGTTTCTGTAAAGAAACCAGACTCACACACACACACAGCTTTATATTTTGATCACACACACTAGTCCATAAGTTAAACACACACACTTCTACACCTAGTTAAACACACACACACACACACGTCACACACCCACACATACACTTGAAAAGCCCACCACCAATGCATGACACATATATGAAGATATTTCAATCAACTTAATTAATTTCACTTACCTCCCTCTAAATTCTTGAGTTATTTCAAAATCAACCTAATACCATTTTCATTCACAAAATGCTATATAATAAATAATTCCACCTAATTGCAATTAGTCCACATAATTATGCTAATAAGTATGAAATACATGATTGGGTCTCACACCTCGCCTCCGCTTCGGTCCACTGTTATCACTAAGAGCTACTAGTGGACTAGGGAAGAATGGGCCCACCTTGAATTTTTTTTTAAAAATTATTACTTATACATTTTTAAAATTCGTTAATATATTTTATAGTGTCAACTGTATATATTTTGTGTCAAATCTATTAATTTTTTAACACACTTTATACTTTACAGATGTATCTAGACAAATTTTTGATATATCAAATTTATTTTTTTAAGTTATAAAAATTGTGAGGATTAGATTACATAATCAAAAGAGTGAGTTAATTATTTGTATAGAAAAAGATATTTTTTGTAGTATAGATAATGAAGTTATCGTACGTCATCTTTAAAATATGAAAACTCATCAAAATCAATTATAAATAAGTATAATTACCCTCTTTTTATTATTATTATTATTATTATTTTGTATATTCTATGCATATCGATGTTGAACAATTTTGTATCTAATACATGTTTGAGTATCATGTATAATATGATAAATTAAAATGTGTTATGTTACTTTTATCAATTGAAAAAAAATTAAATTTATAGTTAAGGTGCCCATTCTACAAAAAAATTCTGGCTCCGCTAGTGTTTACAACATTCAAAAAAGTCTCAATTTTGTCATCATTCCTTTTTTTCACAATAAGTTACAGTTACAAAAAATGTCCTCATATAAACTTATAAAATAATAAATAAATAAATAAATAAGAAAAAAAAACTAAAATAAATAAAATTTCCATGTATATCATTAACACGATTTGGTGTCCAATAAAGTTTAATGCAAAGTTGGAAGTTGAAGATTTTATGGAATGTAATTTATTTCATTCGGATGATTAACAAAGTAATATACAATGTTAAGTAGCAAGTTCAAAAATATCATATGAAATCATATATATTTCGAGGCATCCATTATATAAAAATTTTTAATTTCTGAAAAAATCTAATTCATCAAAAAATTATGAGTAGAAGTATAGTTTAATGAAAAATTGTGAACAAAAGTGATATATAGTTTAATAAGAAAGGGTTAAATCACAATAAATATATGTTTGATAAAGCCTTTAACTAAGTTGCCAAAAATATGAAAAATAGGATTTGATTGCCCTAATTAAAATAGCATAGGACCTAATAATTTTTGGTTATGAAAAGGAGAATTTATTTGATATTTTTCCAAGGATTTGTCAGAATTCATTTAGTAATGTTTTTGTTTTTGTTTTTCAAAAAAATAAAAACACTTTATTTTTTCTATTATAAAAACTAAAAATAAAAAATATGTTTAATAGTCCTTTATGTTTAAAAATTTATAAAAATAGAAATAAAAAACATTTGATATTATATTTTTTGGTTGATATTTTATTGTGTTTATTTTTGTTAATATTTTAATTTCATACATATTTTATTGCTCCTTGACATATAATTAGAGATATTATTACATACAAATATACAAATAAACAAACACACACATATAGATATATGCTTAATAAAAAGAGAATGTTGGATACAGTCGGTTTCGTGTTTGTGTTCAACTAAGATGAGGTCATGGTTGTCTGATATAAGGAGCTTTGTCTGTATCAGAAACCGTCCATTTTAGTCTTTTTAAAGAGAGAGACAGATGAAATAAAGAGAAGAAAAAAGAGAGAGAGAGAGAATTTTTATAGTTAACACAAAAAAAATCTCATTTTGTTTTTAACAGGATTCCAAGGATGGGACATCATTAATGAGGGTTATTGCTGCATGTGTTTTTATTTTTGAATGTTTTTAAAAACATCATTTGTTTTAGTTTGCAATTTCGGGCCTTGTTTTCAAAACAACTTTAAAAAAAACATATTCCAAAAGTGTTATTATTATTATTTTTTTTTCAAAAAATGAAAACAAAAACAAAAAACACAAACCAAACACACCCTGAAACTTGGCTAGAGTTACTTTATCCTTTCCATGGACGCAACATAAATAAAGCAATTGCCCTGCTGTTACTGCTTCAAAAGATAGATAAATACCCACATGGTATATCAGCCAAAATGAAATACATGAGTAACAGAATACAAACTTGACAATTATGTTGTGTCCTTCAAAACATAGAGGAAGTAAGTTCAGAAACATCCGATACAACCTGATCATAATCCGCCTTCAACTTTTCTTGTTCCTCCTGGCCGAGTTCCCCCTTGGTAGGCTTGGTTAGCACCAGAACACAGCACGTTGGCCTCTTGGTGGCTCCAGCATTCGCAAGATCCTGAAACAAACAGTTTATCATGTTTCCAACCTCTGCATTTACTGAGGATCAACCAATATACAACTGGCTACTCTTATTCTTTAAGCACGCATCAATGCATATATGCGCATTGCAAAATTGACGAAATACATTTGAGAGTAGGAAAGGGATACTATTGTCCTGATGTGAAAATAGGTTATGATATAAATTTGAGAGAATCGAGTTGGACTCAGCACACTTCTGATGCCATCTTCTGGCTCCTATGTTTGATAGAAAATAGAAATACAAAGTTTCATGGAAAAAAAAGAAGAATAAACGGGCTGGGGGGTTTGAATTTAAGTGACAAGTTTCTTGAAGGAAAGACAAGAATTTATGAAGATCTGGAAGCTATCATCTGTAGCTACAACTTAAGGGGCCAATATGGAAAAAAAATCTGTGCTGATTAGGCAACTTATGAAAAGAGAAAAGGAAATTGAGATTAAAAAATGGACCAACATGGCCAAAACTTGAGCAGTACATTATTGCAAAATATGCTGAGGGCCTGAAGCTACAGCAAAAATATTTACTGAAATCCTGTACGAACTTAAGCAGTGCATCATCAGTTTTCTGATCTTGATAGGGCATAAAAAATTTCAATCGGGCCTTTTGTAAAATTCCCAAACATAGATCCCAGACAAAGATACAGTTTGGTATTTTGGGAGGAAGATAAATTTTCTTTGCTAGGAGCACAAAGGTTTCTGCATATGCCTATGTGAAGTCACCATTATCTTAAGGAATAATTTCATCCTCTATGATCAAGACAGGACAGAGAAAACAATGATCACCAGACACAATACTATAGATACATCAATGAACTTCATTTTTTGATCACCGACATAAATCTACAGATTATTGCAAACATGCGTGTCAACATAGCAATTGCAAATATGAAGAAAAATAAAATAGCGTTATTTCCGATGATGAGTGAATCATAGTACAACAAATTTGTGAGATGTCCACCCTCACTCTTAGATCTCAATTCATTTACTATCTATAAAGAAGAAATAAGACAAAAAGGACCCTCTAGAATTAACAAAAAGACCAAGAAATTATAGAAATTACAAATTTATTTGCCAGGGGGAGGAGAAACAATAGAGGCAAAATACCATAAAACAAGAAAAGGAAATCCAACTTACTTCTTTTGAGGGAAGATATATGTAGGGTATGTCAGCCTCTTCACACAAGATTGGAACATGAGTGATGACATCAATAGGAGATATATTCCCCGCTATTACACAGAATCTGCATTTCACCAACAAGAAGATTAACTCTAAAAGGGTTCATATGCAACTTCAAATGGGCTAAAGGATTCCATGACACAATCTCTAATAGTTAGCTTCCACAGGGGTAATGGGGCACCTAACAGAATCAACACCAACAAATACTATTTTTTGAAAAGTATCAACAAAATAAATTTAAGCTGATAGTCACTTAATTGGCAAGGGATTAATAAATCAGAAGCATCCATGCCAAAGCTGGTAGTCGAACCCTCCACCGTCGTACTACCAGTCGTACTACCGAAATCAACTCAACAAAACCTTCATCCCAATATTTTTGGATTGGCAACACGAAATCAATTTCTTGCATTGTGGTCTATCAAGGCCAATTAATTAAACAACTTTATCGGCAAAATAATAATAATAATAATTTTTAAAAGAAGGAAAAACTGAAAAAAAAATAATAATAATAATCCCCATTGTTACAAAACACCATTTTTGCAGTCACTTATACAAAGAAGGCACTGTGGAAATCATTACCAAAACATAAGTTGCCAGAGTCTAGATGCAGTTTAGGTGGTAAATATAAAACAAATAAGCTAATGGGATTTATTAGAAATTTAAATCTACCAACATAATAAATTATCATTTTAAAGCTAACTCACTGGACTGAAAAATAACATCGGAAAATGAGACTAACCCTTTGTTACCGCGCCGGATGGTTTTAACCACCTCTTTAACTCCTCTCTTCAAGCATTTGTGTTCCGCAGCTAGAACAAGAACATCAAGTCAAAATAATCAGAGAAAATCCAAAAAATAATAACCAGAACACGCGCGCGTGCACACACACACACACAATGTATGTATACCTCGGCGGACGAGTTTGAGGGTGCGCTTGCAGAGCTTTTTGCCGGCAAGGGGTTTGGCGATTGGGGCTAAAGCTAATAGTTGCTTCTTCTCCTTCTCCTTCTGGATCGTCTTCTCTGCTTCGCTATCGCTCACCATCTCTCTCTCTCTAGCAAGCAAAACCAGACAAGGGTTTATGTGATAGTTGTGTCTCGCTTACTAGGGTTTTAGCTTTTATGTAAACCTCAGAGAGCTCGCTGCTTATGTGTCCACCAACGTTTTGTGAAATTTGGTATGGGTTTAGCAGGCCTTGGCCTGTTGGACACGATCCGAAAGATTCCGCCGCGTAGAAGTCACCAAACATAATGGGCCGAACCTCAAGTCATTACTAAATGGTTTTTTGGGTGTGGGTATAATTTTTTAGACTTATTTGAGTAAAAGTGTATGGATAAGTTATTTATTCTATTAAATATAATTTTTATAAAAAATTTTATGTTTAGGTAAGCGTGTAAAGTATAATCTGACCAAAAGGAATAAAGTTTTTTACTATCATGATTGATCAAATCCTGAATTTTTCCCCCCCAAAAAAACGAAAATCGGTCAAGATGTTTTGTTATATATTATGTATTGTTAGTTATTGTTCGGATGTAGGGAAAAAAATTCTTTTTTTAATAGGTGTAACTAAATTTTTAATTGGTATAACTATTTTTTAATGAGTGTAGCTGTTTTTTAATGGGTGTAATTATTTTTTTAATGGGTGTAACTGTTTTTTAATGAGTACAACTGTTTTTATAATGAGTGTAACTATTTTTTTAATGGGTATAACAATCACAGTCTCATGCAATTGTTAAAGCATAATGGTGTAACAATGTCACAATATTAAATGGTGCAACTATTTAGATTATGTAAACAACTGATGACAAATTCGGTTGATGTCATAATTTTGTGTAATTGTTTTGTGTAACTATTTGATTTATTACAATGCATGAATAACTGTTTGGTGTATTATAAGACAATTGTAACTGATTGATATAAATGATTAGTGTAATTATGTTGTTGTAATATTAATATAAATAGAGTAAGAGAAAATAGAGAGAGAAATTGTTAAAAAACCTATAATATAAAATATGACAGACTTCAATAAACATATATTGATGGTCTCAAATAGACATATCTAATGGCCACCAACATTCTTATCAAAATCATTCGCATTATATCGTGCCTTCAGATTCGTGTTGCTCTAGTATGCCTCTATTTTACCTCTCATTACTTGATTGTAGCCAAAAAAAAAGGGGAAAGAATACAAAAAATTTTCCATCCATATGCTATCTATCGATGACAATAGTGACATTTTTAAAAAATATGCACTTCATTTCAAATAAGTTTATGACTAGTACTTTTGGTCAAATAAGTTTAAAAAATTGTACCAACTTCTAAATTCCCTCAAAAAAATGGTACCGCTATGCTTAGCAAAAAAAAAAGAAGGGAGAATTACACTAAGATCCCGTAAGATTTGTTATTTAATTACTTAGATTCCTGACATTTAAAATATTACATACAAATTTTCTGAAATTTGTATACTCGTAATATTTAAACCCCTTCCATTAATGTCTGTTAGAATAATCGTTAGTAAATTATATTCAAGCCGTCTAAAATTTTTATGCGTATAATATTTAGACTCTTTAAGTTTAAAATGTTATACTTAGACAAAAATATACTCCAATAAAAGATAAAATGTCAAATATTTTAAATTTTATAACTAAAATTCATGTTCTATTATTTTATTTATTGATATAAAATTAAAAATAAAAATCTAATTTTTTTTAAAAAAAATCATAATTAATATACAATTATATTATCTATTGGAATAAAACTAAAAAAAAATAAACAAGAGGTCAAACTGTAATTGACATAATATTTTCTATGTTTAATTAGAGTAGTTTGGTCTTTTAATAGATAATATAATTGTATAATAATTATAATTTTTTTAAAAAAATTTGGATTTTTGTTTTTAATTTTATTTCAATAAATGACATAATAAAATATGAATTTTGGTTATAAAATTTAAAATATTGATTGAATTATTTTTTGTCTAAGTATAACATTTTAAACTTAAATGGTTTAAGTATTATACGCCTATAAATTTTGGGGGTTCTAAGTATAATGATTTACTAGCAAAAATTTTAACGAACATTGACGGTAAGAGTATAAGTGTTACACACGTATAAATTTTAGGGGGTCTGTGTGTAATATTTTAAATATTAAGATGTCTAATTAATTATGTGATAAATCTCAAAGAGTTTAAGTGTAATTCTCTCAAAAAAGAAAGGAAAAATTGATCGCCGATCCACCATGATAGAGTTTTGGGCCAATAAGAACAAGGAGTGAACTTATGAGATAGTGCTTTAAAATTCGGCCCGACCCGACAATTTGACTCTGTGAACCGAACCTTAAACCAGGTCGGTTATTATGTTAGATTGTTTGAGCACAAAAACCATTCAAAATCTACTGGATCGAGCGGTTCGTTCTCTCAATCATTCAAATCGGACGATTTTTAACAAACTGCGCGGCTTGGTTGGTCTCTCTCGACGCCGAAGCTCAGGCCTGAGCCCCTCTCTCTTGATCTCGATTGATCGATCGATCGAAATCAAACTATGACGAAGATCTGCTTCATGAAGAATCCAAGGCAGCTCAAGAAAACTTAAGGCCTAAAACAACATTTGTAAATGATGAGGCCTTTTTTCAATTGTTTGCATCGCTAATTCTCCCATTTTTTCTTGTGATATGATTGATCTTAAATAAGACTTTATTAATTTTAAAATTTTTGTTAATAATATTTTTTTATTTTTTTAGTATATTTTGCATATACAATAGTTGTCTTGCATGTTTAACTCTCATCGTGAATATTTTATAATTATTATTTTGTGGTATTATTTTATTATTTCTTATTGTTTGGGATCTATTGATTGTTTATTTGTAGGACTTTAACGTATTTTTTAATGACGTTTTGTTTGGTAGTAGAAATAAATAGATCATTTGAGATTCAATTATTTTAAAATTTTCTCATTTTTTAGAAAAAATTTTATTTCCAAATGATTATTTTCTATTTGCCATATTTATAATGCATAATGAACAAATTAGTTCTAAATAACCATAAAAGTATCTGTTGTGATTCTCAACCACCATTGTTGAAGATCTACTTCACTCTCTGAAGAATGTGCTTTGCGATGCAATTTCACGCCTTCAATTGACACACAACAAGTACATCTCTCTCTCTCTCTCTCTCTCTCAAATTTAGGGAGGAGTTTGTTTGTTGCTACTTGATATTGTATAAATTTTGGCCTATTTTAACATTGATCACATTATCAATTTCAAACTGTACGATTAAGAGCAGTTTAGCAGATTAGACAATTTTTGATGAATCTTAAAATTATTTGCTATTTTTTTTAATTATGTTGGTGATGAAATTGTATGTGCTATACAAAATGTTGATGATGAAATTGGATTCATGTTTGATACATGAAACTAGCCAATGCAGATTAGTCCCGTCCAAACCAATTATGTTGGTGATAATTGATAATTTTTGGATTTTTATTTTATCTAATATACATTAAACATGCTATTATCATAATTTTTAGCCTATTTATTATCATTAATAATATTAATGTTTTTATTTTTTTATTATATTATCTCCCAATAGAGGTGCTCATGTCTAACCAAATTCGAGTTGGATTCTCAGCAAAAGCAGGTTAACTTCAATACAAGCCCTTGCCAAACCTGGTCTGGTTAATTGAATTGTAGGTGATGAGACTCTTCTGAAATGCCCTATGATGAAGACACGTGTCCTCGGTGTTGCTAAAACACTGTTGCTTGAATCAAGCACCATCGGCGAACGAATGTCCTCGCCCCCGATGTACCGTCATGAAGGATCGTGCATTCAGTATATTATAGAACCAAACGCGTGTCCTCGATCATCTATGTACCTCGGCCGCAAACCTCCCTCGGTCCCCGAGATGAGCCTTTCCTCGGTGCTGAGGGTTACACCGTCCTGGACGCTTCCTCTACTCCAGGATAAGCTATTGACGTATAGGTCACTTGCCTAGGCTAGTCTAGGCTGCTCATCATGACCTCGTCTTACACAAGTAATGTCAGAACGTACTGGAATGCAGAGGTCACAACCAATAGGGGATGGACGCGTGGCGAATGATGTCACATCAAAGACAGACAAACCGCATGTCATTGCTGACACGCGGTTTGGGAAAGCAAACAATTAATTGCACCCCTCCGCTGAAAAGACCGCATTCAATGCGGTAAGGCTCGGAAATGAGAGACAATAAATGCTCTTATTACAGAGCATTTATTGCAACCTCCCCGAGAGGAGCACATTGTACCGTCGGCATCCCGACGACTCAGCATTGATTGCTCGGGACCCCGAGCAGTTAATTAGAGAAGACATTCCTCATCAGAATCAATGCACACGCTACCTGTGCCTAATGATCACCTACTGACCACACTGACAGCAATCATGAGCTTTTAAGGTATAAATACTCCTTGCAAAAGGCTAAGCGGGGATGCAACAACAAACTCTTTACTACAATACATTTTTCTCAGTGTTTTCTCCTTTCTCTCTCTCGCTCAAAGACTGACTAGACCGTCGGAGGGGATACGCCGGAAAACACTCCGGCGCCCTTCTAACCTCTTCTTCTTTGTTCCAGGAACCCCTTTCATCCTTACAGGACCGTCATTCCTTTCCCAGGGTCTCCCGTTGCCGTTCCGGGTTACCACCGTACCGCGTGCAGGCTGTCCCAAGCAGCGTGTTTGGTCACTCCACCCGCTCACTCGAGTTCACCAGGGGAGAGATCTGTTCCTGTTTTTTATATTGTGCAGGATCTTGCACGCACAATCTGGCGCCGTCTGTGGGAAACGACTAGTTTTCCTAGTTCTCTCTATAAAGAACAGTGACCATGGTGAACACTCGACAAAGAGGGAAAGGACCCCACCAAAGGAGTCTCGAGTTACAAGCTCCCTGTCATCACGGAGGGAGGGATCACACTAACACAAATAAAAGTGCCTCTACTCGGTCGAGAGGGGTTACCCCTCAAACCAGTATGGGGATCAGGTCAGGGGGATCAGCCCCCTTGGCTCGTCAGTTGGCGGAA